GGCAAGTTTCAGAGTCTCTTCTGACATCCATTTTGATCTTTTCTTCCTTTCTTGTCTTTTTAATGACCTCTTCCTTTCTTCATGGATGATGTTCTTGATGCCATCCCACAATTCCTCTGGTTTTTGGTCATTGGTGTTCGATGCATCAAATTTATCCTTTCAATGGTCTCTAAATTCAGGAGGGATATTATCAAAGTCATATTTTGGTTCTTGTGGACTTGTTTTAATAGTCTTCAACTTCAAGTTGAACTTACATATGAGTAGTTGATGATCTGTTCCACAATCAGCTCCTGGCCTTGTTTTGGCCAAAGATATTGAACTTCTCCATTGCTTCTTGCCACAGATGTAGTCAATCTGATTCATGGGTATTCCATCTGGTCAAGTCCATGTGTATAGTCATCACTTATGTTGTTAAAAAAAAAAAGGTATTTGCAGTGAATAAGTCATTGGTCTTGCAAAATTCTATTATGCGGTCTCAAGTGATATTTATATCACTAAGGCCGTATCTTCCAACCACCAGTAACTCTTGTTTCCAACTATTGCATTCCAGTCACCAGTGATAAGCAACACATCTTGATTATGTGTTCATTCCATTTCAGACTGCAGAAGTTGGTAGAAATCTTAAATTTCCTCATATTTGGATTTGGTGGTTGCTGCATAGATTTGAATAATAGTAGTATTAACTGGTCTTCCTTGTAGGTATATGGATATTATCCTATCACTGACAGCATTGTACTTCATGAGATATCTTGAAACACTCTTTGTGACACTGAATGCCACTCATTCCTTTCAATTTGTCATTCCCAGCGTAGTAGATCATGTGGTTGTCTGATTCAAAATGGCTAAAACCAGTCCATTTCCCCTCTCTAATGTCTAGGGTATTGATCTTTATGCATTCCATTTCATTTTTGACAACTTCCAATTTTCCTAGACTCATACTTTGTACATTCCATGTTCCAATTAATAGTGGATGTTTGCATCTGTTTCTACTCATTTGGAGTCATGCCACATCAGCCAATGGAGGTCCCAAAAGCTTTACTCTATCCATATTGTTAAGGTTGTCTCTACTTTGAGGAATCAGCTAGTCAAATACGGAGTGCCTTCTGACCTGATGGACTCATCTTCCTGCACTATGTTGGACAATTTTCAGGGCTATTCATGAAGATTTTTAGTAATATATTAGACAATGTTTCACAGCTCTTCATAAAGATTTCACTGGCCAATTGTTTGAGAAGTGGATGGCCCCTTTCTTCTTCTGAGTCTGTCTTAGCCTAGAAGTTCCACTGAAATCTGTTCACCATGGGTCACCCTGCTGGCATTTTGCAACATAGTGGCCTAGCCTCCAGCCTCACAGCAACAAGTAAGCCACCACAGGAAGATAAACTGACAGACAAGTTCATCTCCCTTGTTGTTGTTGTGTTGTTGTTATGTGCCGTCAAGTTGGACCCAACTCATAGCGACCTCTCCTTGGGTTTCCGACGCAGTATCACTAAGCAAGTAGATTGCCCCATCTTCCTTCCGAGGAGTGGCTGGTGGGTTTGAATCGCCAGCCTTCTGATTAGCAGCCAAGTGCCTTAGCCACTATGCTACCAGAGCTCCTATTAGTTGTTCTTAACTCCTTTGCACCTGCCTACCTTGGACAACAGCCTCAAAATAGAGCCGCTCCCAAGCAAAACGTAGCCCTTGAGCCCCGCCCTCCTACCGCAGGCCCTGGCTTAAAACAGAGCTGCCCCCAAGTGAAAAGCAGCCCTGAGCGCTGGCCCACATATCTCAGGCTCTGGCCTTAATAAAGAGCCAGCCCCAAGGAAAAAGCAGCCCCCAGCCCGGGCCCAAATACCTCAAGCCCCGGCCTTAATATAGATCCAGCCCCAAGTGAAAAGCAGAGCCCCAAGCCTGTCTACCTACTTCAAGTCCTGGTCTTAATAAAGAGCCACCCCCAAGGGAAAAGAAGCCCCCAGA